GGCACTTTTTAACACAGGGAAAGAGGGGGAACAGAAACAAAACAACAATTGCAATCTGAGGTGGGCAGAAGTTGGAGCAAGCTTCGAGATGGCATTCGGGGAACTTGGACAAATGCAGGTTCTTTGTATGCACGTCTCTCAATGGGTGTCTCACAGAGAGGAGGCTGCCTAAAACAGACTGAGTCATAGTCTGGTTTGGTAAATTGGCTTTGCCCAGGCCTAAATATTCATAAACTTTGCATACCTGGTACAAACACAAAAGTTTTAATGAAATTGTTCTCTCTGTCCTTATTTGTCAATTCTACCAGCACGTTCATGGGCTGGCTAACACTGGCAATCATGTTCCCTGGAGTCTTGGTTGCTGGGATGCATTTTGGTAGCACACGGTCTACCAAATGTAGGGCCTATACCTGGAAGGAGAGGACAACTTCCCAGCAGTGGTAATTAGGGTTGGGATGAGCATCGGAAGCTCTTGCATTAATGCTTTTCCTCTTATGCTCAGCCTGGTCTTGGAAAGCACGCCAAGCTGGGAGGAAGTCTGCAAAGGCTCACGGAATGAGAATTGCACAACCGGCAACCTTCTTCCATATCACATCTGACAGCGCAAACACAGGCATGGGAGAGGGATGCTGCGGGCTCAACGTGTGGGGCTCAGTACTTGGTGAGTGCCCTATAGATGCTGTGTGCTGGCCAGGAATTTAGACCCAAGGCAGCAACAAAGTGGACTGTAGTTTAAAGATCTGAACCGTGGGAAGCCAGTGGATCCCCCCTCCCACCACCATGGATTCCTCACTCATTCCTTATGGTGACAGTGCTTCCTGTCTTTGTAATCATTGCCTTTCCCCACCACAAGGCTACAGAGATGGGACAGGAAGACTTGTATTCCATTTTCAGATTGGTCTGATTCAACTTCATGAGGACATCCTATCACCAGATGGCACAGAATCATAGAATAGTAGAGTTGGAATGCATCAAGAAGACCATGGGGTCCAACCCCTTGCTGTGGAAGGTCATCAATTACACCATCCCACTCAATTTCTCTTTGAATGCCTCTAGTGTGGGAGAGCCCCCCACCTCTCTAGGCAGCTGGTTCCACTGTCGTATTTCTCTGACAGCAAGGAAGCTCTTCCTGATGTCCAGCCTGAATCTGGGTCGTCACAGCTTGACTTGATTATTCTGTGCCCTACACTCTGGTATGAACAGAAGAGATTTTGACCTTCCCCTTTGTGAAAGCCTTTCAGGTACTTATAGAGTGATACCAAGGCTGAACATACCTAGTTCTCTCAGTGTCACCTCATATTATGTACTATTGTGTTTCAATGTATTTTATCATGTTGTAAGCCGCCCCGAGGTTTCGGCAAGGGGTGGCATAGAAATGTTATAATAATAATAATAATAATAATAATAATAATAATAATAATAATAATAATAAAAAATAGGGCAGTGTTTCCAAACTCTGGATTAATTTTGTTGCCCACCAACGCATGCTTGTAAACTGCCCAGAGAGCTTCAGTTATTGGGCAGCAGAGAAACTGATTAATTAATTAAAGCATTCAGAGTAAATAATGTTTCAGCCACCAACAACTGGAAACACCATCACCACCACTAGTAAGTTTGGTGGAGCAAGTCGCTCAAAAATACACAAATCACTGATCATCCTTCTCTCCTTCTCCACACCCTCATGACCAGAAGGGTCAGGCATGCCCCGCAGCCTGGAAAAAAAGCATGAACCTCATAAACTCATCCATTGGGTTCTTCTTCATGATCAGGATTTTTCTCATGAAGGGGCTTCCTAACACAAGCCTCTGATATGATGCTGACATGGGTTTCTGGGACACCCACATTTCAGAGTTCAGTTTAGGCCTTTGCCTCCTAGAATATCACCTTCCCTGAGCTGTGGGTGCTTTGGAATTGCACATAATTGACCTTATTTTGTGACAAATCCTCTGTGCTTTGACCTTTAGATTCCAGCTAGACTCTGCTCTTTGGACTGCAGATGGGTTTGACTGCTTTCTGCTGTTTGGACCTTGGCCATATCTCAGACCTTTCTCTTGGAAATCTCCTTGGTGGCTTGCTTTTGGATTTTCCCCTAGTTGGTGCCAGGGCTGAGCCATATTGGGACAGTATAATGCATTACTCCAATGTAATGACTATTGCATAATCATTATATACTTATTAATAAATAATTGGCAATGTAATGCAATATAAAGCCATTAGGCTTTGGTAGCAGCTTCAGCACTGGGAATATTTATTTGTCTATTAACTTCTATGCTGCAGTTAAATAGATGTGAACAATGTATTGAATGCAGTTGCTCCCAGCCCTCTAAGAGCAGGATCAGGAGTGGGTGTCAAGTTTAAGTTTCTGAAAGGCTGCCCCCACATACATACAATCCACCCCAAGCCACACATTAAATCACTTTTGAAATTATGGAAGGTTTCTTAAGGCATAAAGAGCTGTTGCTAAAAAGAACTGTGGGTGGAAAGGTGTTAAAGAATTCTTAGTGGTGATGCCAAAGCCATGGGCATGCAGATATTAGAAGCTGAACCCCACCGGGGGAACACACTGGGACACTTGTTGAAACAGTGACACACATAATGTTTGATCTTGGTCGTTTGCTGCTTCTGCATCTACAGTGCGATGTTTCTATTCATGCAGGAGGAAGCGTGACATCAGTTCTTTGGACAATTAGACTATACGAAATCAAGTTGACAAGCTTTCCTGTACAATTATGTATGAAGACACACGGGGGAGTGTATCCAGAGATATGCACATGGAAGACATTCGGGCAGTTGAAAAATCTCGAAAGTCTAGCCCAGGGCCTAACAAAAGGCATTGTGCACCACAGCACAGGTATGCCTCTTGTGGCATTGGCCTGGTTCATGTGAGCACATGCTGGCTTAATAAACAAAGACATGCATGTGTGCTTTGCCCATATAAACAGCCAGAGGCTGTGCCAGGCAGTGACCTGTTGGGGTTGGAACCCTGAATCTCTGCAAGGCCATGTTACCCACACTCTGCTGCCCTGGGGCACTTGCTGAAATAATGCTCTGGGGGGCACTGATGGCCTCTGTTGTGCTGGATCCCCCCTAATGAGCTGACTTTTTGCCCACGGGTGCTTCACCTCCCACTTTACCCCCTTGAATCTTTCTGCCTGAGCTTTTTTCCTGAAATCCAATGCCCATCTATACCCTGTCCATACATCCCATTAAAGCCGCACAAAGACAAATGCAAATTAGCATAGGAACATGACTCTCTGCTCTTGAGCCCCAGATCTTCCGGGTTCCTAGCACTTATTCTGCATGAAGCCCCTTTGTAGAATGCTGCAGTTAAGTTAGGGCACCTCTAACGAACCATGGTTTCCCATTTTGTCCCCATGGGAAATGTTGCATAGCATCTGATACAGACACTCATTTCCTGCTTGGCCTATGGCAACTAGCAGATCCCATCATGAGCACAAAAAGAAGCAAGTGTTTCCTGAAGCAACCTTGGAATCTAGGAGAAACACTGGAAATGCTCTCTCCTCTCTTCAACAAGCCCCTCTGACCATCTTTGTTCCAGAAAAGAGCATTGCTGTTCACTCCCACTGGCTTCCCATTGTACTCATCGAAACTTCTTCTAGCCCAGGGACAGTGTAGGATACTGCCCTAGGGTTATCTGCTTTGCAAGGAGACCATGTGATATAATTGCTTGAGTGTTGGACTAGAACTTGGAAGATCCAGGTTCTAGTCACCACTTGGCCATGAAGCTCACTGGGTGACTTTAAGCTAGTTGCTGACTCTCAGCCTGAGACCTCCGGAGAGTTTCTTTATTTATTTAAAACATTTATAACCCATCTATACCAGCAGGTGTCTAGATAGCTTACAACAAAGCAGCACAATTAAAACACATTATGAAGACAATTAAAACACAATATGAAAACTTACAATAAAATCCTAACATTAAAATGCCATTAAACCTTAAAATATTGGGTAAACAAATGTTTTGGCCTTGTGCTGAAATGAATAATGCATCAGCACCAGGCACACCTCTCTGGGGAGCAGGTTGCAGAACCGGGGCACAACCAGAGAAAAGGCCATTTGGGTGGCCATTCTTCTGACCTCCTTCAAAGAGGGTTCCCAGAGAAGGGCCTCAGAGGAAGCTCTTAAGGCATAGGCAGGTGCATGTAGAAGGAGATGCTCCTTCGGATATCCAGACCCTCAACCGTCCATCAAGGCCCAAAGCTTTAGGTGCCTTCCTTTTGAGTGCCTGGGTCTGAATTCCTATGTACTTACTTAGTAGGTGACTAGAGTATTGGAGCAGGACTCAGGAGACCTGGATTCAAACCCCCACATGGCCATGAAGCTCCCTGGCTGACTTTGGGCCAGTCACTGCCTTTCATTCTGACCAAACTCACAGGGTAAAATATAGTTATGAGGAGGAGAATTATGTGAAGCCTTGGGTTCCTTGCAGAAAAAAAGCTGGGATATAAATGAAATAATTTACTATTTAATATTTATTTGTTATATTTTGTAGTGCATGATAACCAAAGCTCTTCGCATGGTTCATAAAAGGGTTTGAACTGTCTTCAAAGCATGGTTTAAGTTCCTTGCTTGTTCTAAAGCTGGTGATGGTAGTTTCCTGGTTGGATGGAATGACAAAGCTTGGCCCATTTGAGACTTTCTGACTCACTTTGGCTTGATATAGAGGGAGCTGCAAAGGGGCTATCCCACAGGCAAATGTTTGTCCATAACTTAGCTTGTTAAACAAAGCCGGACAAATGCAGTTGTCCATGATATCTCACTACAACTTGTATTATCAGACACACAGCTCTGGATTTCCAGTTTTCTTTTCTCATACAAGGAGCTTGCATGAAGTCAGGGGTGAGAGGGAAACCCTTCTGGGAGACACAGGGGACTTCTGTATTAGGAAAATTGTTCCTGTTTGTGGTAACGAAGTAACATGGGTGCGCACAAATACTATGATACAAACCATTAATATATATTGTGGGGAGAGGGCTTACCTTCCAAAGTGTTCCTGAAGCTGAAGTTGGCCATTTTGTCCATGGTTCCAGCTTCGTACTGGGTCAGACTTAAGCAGAATTCAACATCAGCAGAGGATGGCAACCTGGGAGTCCTCCCCTTATCATGGTTCCCAGGATTTCGAAGAATAGGCCCTTCGCTTGTGCCATTGCAAAGTTCTTGGCGGCTGTTGTACTCTTCTGATTTGCTGCAGATGACCTGCGTGAGACACAAAACACCAGCGGGTTCAGAACTAGGACAGTTTTGAGTAGTCTGCCGTTCAGATCTAGTTAAAAAGACTACTGTGCGCATATCAGACACTACAACTCCTTTTCAATAAAGACTTGGCTTAGTTGCCAAAGTGTTGGAGATGTGATACAGATAATGCTTTCTTTAGCCATATCTCTGGGCAATGCTCAACAGCTGTTTTCTTTTGGGAAAAGGTTATTATAGGGATAAACCTTGTATTGCAAAATATTTAAATATGGACATGTTCAACTTAATTATCTACCTGCTCCTTGGAATCTAACACAAGGTTAACAAAGGTGGTTTTCCCATGCCTGTATCACAGGTAAAGGAATGGCATTACATGGCCAGTGCTGCTCATGCAATGAAATGAGTCCCTATTGACTATTTGACCTTTGAACTGGTTGTATTTAGACACTACCCTGGCCAGGATGAATATAGATATTTGCTTACCTTTGTTGAAAAAGTATGCATAACTACTTCTATTAACCTTAGAATATTTCCGTGTGTGTGTGTGTGGGTGTAATATTTGTTATTTGCCATCATTATTTGTTTTTCAGCACCAGGCTAAGACCTTTTTATTTAAAACTTATTTTAATTGTTAAATTATTGAATTAATTAGGATTTTAAAACTTTTAGCCGAGAATGCACCGGGGTTTTTTTAATGTTTTTAAAAATTCTTATATTATTATTATTTATGTATGTTTTTATATATTCTTTGTGAGCCGCCCCGAGGCTTTGTTGTGATGGGGGCAGCATAGAAATGTTTTAAATAAATAAATAATAAATAATATGTAGCTTCAAATAAATAATGCGTGAGGAATTGGTCCGAGGGTGGAAATCTGTTGTATTTCCTTGGCTCAGCTCTCCCGGGCACTTTTCTCTGCCGAAGTTTGCCTTGCACCAAGGGGTCACATGAGGGTCGGGCAGGATGTGATTCCAAATAAGTCCGTTAGACCCATTTGTGCACAGGCTGTTTGTGTACCTGAAGTGCAAAGGCCATTCATGGCTTTCATGAATATGATTCCAGGCTTTGTGTCCCCTGAATACTCCATGCAAAGAATTGCAGACTTTGTGTACTTTCGGCAAAGAAGAGGCCCACTAGCCTTCCTGAGTGCTTGCAGATTTGATCTTGCCTTGCCTAATTTTCAGTCAGAATTCCACATGCCTATTTCAAATGAATCCATTGCAATTGATATGCCTAATTGTTATGCTATGTAAATGATTTCCCCCTGTTTAATAACTTTTGTTTTTGTTTATTTTTTAAATTCACAATACACATTCTAAGAGAGAGAAAGCAAGCAAGCGACATGAGCATCACTTATTAGATCTGGAACACCGGACATAAATCAGGAGTGAATCCAAGAATGCATTTGCATGTTTATGTTATTTATAAAATTTTGCATTCAGCCAAATGGGGTCCTGCCAAATTTGTGTTTCCACCAAATGCATGTTGCCACTTTGCTCCACATTGCAAAGTAAAACCCAGAATAGGAAGTAGCAGCCAGGCAAAGAAGATAACACCAAGAATGCCATCCTGGCATGTATTGCATGGCTGGCTGAAACATGCTGGGAATCCAGTCACACAACCTTTGTTCAGTGCAAATTTGCAGACTTGGCTCAGCTTGGCTCACTTTCTAAGATGAGCACAAGTTGATGAACCTCAAAGGAATGGATTCTGTGGCACTTTATTGCAATGCTGCTCTTCACACCCAGCTGACTGCCTGGGGAGACACAGATCCCATCAGTCAGATGTCTGAGCAGATCACTTGCACAGGACCTTGGCAATGAGAAGCATAGAAACATAGAAAAGAAGCGAGTCAGAAGGGGCCTCCTGGGCCATCTAGTCTGATCTCCAGCCCCAGCTAGCTCCACTCATGTAATTTCCAACATGTGGTTGCCCAATCTTTCCTTGAACACTCCCACTGATGGGGCCTCCACCACCTCCCTTGAAAGTCCATTCCATATCCTACGGGTCCTAACTGTCAGGAAGTACTTCTTGACATCCAACCTGGTTTCTTGAGCTTTGCCCCATTGGATCACATCCAGCCCTCCACTGCAGGGAAGAACAGGTCATGGCCCTCCTCCACATGACATTAGACCAAGGGTTAGGCCATATAATTCAACTGAAGGCCAGATGCAGCTTTAGGGCTGGGTCATGTGTTGTCCACTCCAGCTTTAGGAGATAAGGGATTCCACAGCTCTCATAGGACCACCACACAGCCTAATCCTAATAAACATGGAGGTACATATGGGAGAAGATCTTTCTTCAAGGTTACCAAATATCTGCCTATCTCCATATAATCCTCACCATCATTTACAAAAAAAGATTGGAGGTGACTGAAAGAAAAGGAAACAACATGCTGGATGGGAACCATGACCACGCTAAGTCAATATTCCGTCTCTCTTGATGGCCACCACCAGATGTTTCACTAGAAGAACAAGAACCCAAGGACAGGCAGTCATGAAAGAATCTGCTCTCATAAAAAACATGACCTAGTAGGAGGTTTAGCTCTGAAACAGGTGAATTCTTAATTCCTTCTCAAAGGCTATCATTTTACACAGCTTAGGTCTGTGCTTCCCCCACTTCATAGAAAAACACATACAGATATTCAGTCCTTGCTGGATTTTGACTGAATTGTTAGCCTTTGCTTCTCATGGTGACCCATTCAGCTCTTTCACTGCATACAAACAGAAAGGACAGTTTCTTTTCTCAGGATGGAAATCCATGTCCTTGTAGTTTCAATAAGAGGCACTTACCTGCATTTCTTGCCTCTTGAACATGTGAATATTGTGGATCTAACCTTTTCTTTCTTTTTTATTTTTTTACAACTACATCTGTGATTCACCGTGCAGGCTTCTTCATGTATTGTCATCATGTTTTGATGAATTTCGTACTTCTAGGCTTCTAAATGTACTTTTATTCGGCCTTATCCCACAAAGTGCTCAGGACTTAACTACGCATACCAATAAATACAGTTAGAAATCATACTGTAAGGCTATGCTGCGCACACACACACCCTATCAATTTCAGCAATGGAAGTGTTGCCTCTTTTTCCCGTTTTTCCCAATGCTTAATTGCAGTGAAGATGGAAGGTGCGTCTGTGTAGACAGAAGGTGTTTTACCATGAATGCAGCAGGGGAGGGAGAGCTTAAACTCCTCCTCACTGCATGTCACAGTTCTGTTAACAAGCCCACCCCTCATGCTTTTAATTAAAAAAAAAATTAAAACAAGCCATGACATGATTGCTAATTGCATCATGAAGCTTGCAACAGTCTAGCAGTGGATCAGATGGCATTCCACGTAGGACTCGTATTTGGAAAAGACCAGACCCAACCCTAACATCACATCTTGTGGCACAGTCCCACCACAGCATTGGAGCTTTCTACATCTATTACCTTGATTTGCTTATCACTTTCCGCTAAAGGAGAAAAAATGGCTCTCACAAGACCCATTGTCTCTCTTTTCTGCCACACGTTGCGTAGCTTCAGATTCATTCCAGTGTTGCTGTCAAAATTATGGTAGAAAAGTAAGTTTAAAAATCTCGTCTTTAATTCATGTTGGTATGACAACAATATTTCTCCTTGATGCATCTTGATATCTGCAAAGGAACACCCAGCTCTAGATCTCTTTTAACCTTCTTCCAACTGTGCAGGTAGAATTCTGAATATGAAACATTTCACACACAGCGTCTGCAGTGCACAACCAGTTGGTTATAATTTTATGGCTGCCAGTGATCAGTCAGTGTTCAAGACCTGGATTCATTCAGATTAGAACCACAGAATAGTAGAGTTGGAAGGGGGCATTGGGTGCAGCCCCCTGCTCAACTCCATCCTTGAATGCCTCTAGTGCAGGGGAGCCTACAACCTCCCAGGATGATTGGTCCCATTGTCATACTGCTCTAAAGTCAGGAAGTCAGAAAGCAGTCAGGAAAAGAACATCTGGCTAACTATTATCCCTGAAGCTGCCAATTCAAAAGAATACAAAGAATAAGCACTTCTGTGTGAATTAATTCTCTGCTGCCCTGTATTTTCAAAAATAAAGGGAATACATTATGTTTGAGCAGATGACAGTAACTGAAGCCCTGTGAAACCTGCCTGAGACCCAGTTTATAAATGGGATCCACTAGAAGATGTTGTGGCATGGAATGCTGCTGTTTAGGGTTCTAGTCAGCCAGGCTGGCCCCCTTCCGGAATACTCCATTGTTTCCCTTCCCTACTCCATTCTTCAATTTTCCCTCTCAATATTCATCCAGCATTCTGAGGCCACAATGTATATCCAGTCCTTGGGATGTTAAGAGAACTTGTTTCGTGCTGGCAAGACATATGAGCAGACCCCCTCTGAAGCTCTTGAGGTCCACCAAAAATATTTCTACATTGTTGAATACACGCTTGTACTTGACTCTTTCCAGATCCCCTGTTCTATTTGCATGCATTTCCTCTGTAAAGTGAGAGAAGTGGAGCAAGTTAGAAAATCTGTGCATTGAGGAGATATGTACAAATCTCCCTTTGGTGACTGCTGTTTAATTTGCAGGAAATTCCAGTTCACAAATAAGAATCAGGCAGGAGGCTGGGAGTGAGATGCGAAGGAAAGAATTCTGCTGAACTCGCGTGTCTCCCACTCAAGCCTTTATTGGCTCATTTTGTGCACAGAGAGGGTCTTCCCGGAATTGTTTTCTGAAGAGATTTTATACTTCTATAAAGTCAGAGGCTCCCCGGCTTGTGCTAATACCTCTTTCTGGTTTGTCCTGTAGTGTCATTTGGGTTGCAAAAGGATCAGCACTCCAAGAATGGGTTTGCTTTTAGTATGTAGGATTATTGTGTGTGTTCACACACTTGTGTGTGCACTGTAGCATTGTGATTAACTGTGGACCTGGGAGATCTGGTTTCCATCTGCACTCAGCCATGGAGTTCACTGGGTGACTTTGGGCCAGTCACTGCTTCTCAGCCTGACCTACCTTGCAGGGCTGTTGTTGTGAGGATAAACCTTGTACAGTGCCATGGGTTCCTTGCAAGAGGAAGAAGGGCAGGCTATAAATGATTGGATGGATGGAGAGCTACATACATATATACATACCATGGAAAGGAACTACTAGAATCTTTTCCCAACATGTGCTCAAATTTCCGCTGTTACATCATTCAGTCATTACCAGAAAGTGAACACATTACTTCAGTTTACACACACATACACACACGCACACACTATAAAAGACTAGTTTTTAGAAAGGAAGTGGTGTCGGAAAATATAAACTATTTTTGGCAGCTTTGAAGGCAAAAGCAGCTCTCCCAGTCTTAACAGGGGGGAAACTGGGCTTGCAAATTCATTCAGTTAAGAGTAACACCAGTTGACTGAGGAAAAGGAAAAGGTTGAAACGGGGTGTCGGGGAGAAAGAAGTCAGCATTTCACCATTCAGTCACAGTTATCACTGTTTCCATGGCAACGTCTCCACAGAATAAAGTCTGTTTTCCTTTCTTTTCAAGAGGGGAAGCCGAGTTAGAAATAGTTGCTTCATGTATGTTGCCCCCCTGACCTGGCCAGCCAATTCATCACAACTCTTGAGTGCATCATGTGTTCCTCTTGAGATATTGTCATTATTTTCTCAAAAGCTGTTTTCTAAGACTTCTCTCCAAGGGTTTCCCATCTCCTCATTTCTTCCTGGGTTGCAGAACAAAGCCCTTTAAAAAATATGTTTTCTTATTTGGTGACTGGATTGTCCATAACCCTCTAAAAGGCCCCTTTTCCTCCTTGCTCGTGCTTTCTACATGTTGCTTTGGGCCTGACACAGTCCTGGAGTGCAGAGTGGTGGCATCATGGCAGCTTTGACCATGAAGTAGTTTCTCTCTTCTCTTCTCTTCTCTTCTCTTCTCTTCTCTTCTCTTCTCTTCTCTTCCCTTCCCTTCCCTTCCCTTCCCTTCCCTTCCCTTCTCCCCCTGGCCTCCTGCTTTTCTTCCTTTCTCCAGTTCATAAAGGGTGAGATCCTCGTCTTGAATGCACTGGTGTGCATCAGAGAAACTTCACTGTAATTGAGAGCTATTCCAGTGGGAGAGGGAGCAAAAGTTGTTTCAATGGATAAAATGAAAACTTCCATCTTAAAAAAAAATTCTTATTACTCTGCAGTACTACTAAGGCTTGGCACAAGATACCGCCTTTCTGCTCTACCATGGAGGGTTTCCTTAATGGTCACATACCCTTCCCTGGACCATTTATCATTTCTGAATGTGGTTATTCCCCTATTAGGGGATTATCAAACTTAAGACTGAATTACTGGCAAGAAGTGGTTTCAGCAAGAACGTGCTGATACTTGGCCCCCACCTCCTTTTGCCTTGTGGGTCCTCCTACGGCTGGAACATCACACTCGACAGATGCTCTAAAATGGAATTTGGCACATGGGCTGAAAGGGGTTCACTACTCCTTCCGTACGGCATTCTGAGACCACTGCTGGGACCTGCATGCCTTGACAAGGCCCACAGGGATGCTGTAACTTGGTGTCCTGCAACAGCAGGTGGTTGGACCTGATGGCCTTTATGGCTCCTACTATTCTATGCTTTTATACCATTCTCGTTCTTTTTTTAACCCCCATCACCACCATGAGGTCTCAGCATCTGGTGACTTGGCAACCACCATTTTAACATTCCACAATGTCTCTGATGTAGCATCATCTAGCAGGGGCTTTCTTCGTTGTCTTTGGAGGTTCAGCCCATGGAGTGACTTCTGCCTAGGTTCAGTAATCAATGCTCCAACAACCTCTCAGCTAGTTTACTATAATGTACTATAATGGGGCTGCCCTTGAAGATGTTTTAAACCTGAAACTTGTGCCACATACGGTGGCCATACTAAGGGCTGCGACTAGAAGTTTTGGACATAGAACATGTCTCTGAGCCCAAAGCAAGGTGCTGGTTTTCTCCTATAAAGCTTTACAGGGCTTGGGACCAAAATACCTGATTGAAACACATTCCTGGCATGAACGTCCCCATTCAGTCTGATTGTCATCTGAGGATGTGTTCCAGGTTCCATGGTCCCTCCTCAGGTTTTAAAACACTTGCCTGGGTGGGGTCCACCTAACACCAACATAGCCATCTTTTCAGTATCAGGTCAAGACTTTCCTCTACCCATTTGCATTTTGAGTCTTTAGGATGAGGTTCTCACCAGGCCTGGAACTTCTACTGTTGGTTGTTTTCAATTGTTTTTAATGCATTTTTAATATATTCTATTTTAAAGGTTTCAGTCCTTTGTAAATGGCCCAAAGAGTTTTGGCCATTGGGCATTAGATGATGCTGATGCTGTTGTTGCTGACATCATGCGAAATGTAAATGGCGGGCTCCATGGCCACCAGATCTCAGAAACCCTCCGACCAATGCAGGAGGCCAATAGGAGCATGTATCAGCAGTGTGGAGGGAAGCACCGGCAAAGGAACATGTTTGGCACAAGCTGCATGCTGATGTAGGATCAGGTCTGGATCCTTCCCTTCAGGTAAGTGGAACTTCTCACGAATGGCTAGCAACCCAATTCAGCCGAGCCTTTCCAGACATGGCAGGCAGATACATGCATGGACACAATCACCCTGGCAACATAGCCTTCTCTACCCTGGTACGCTACAGATTTGTTGCACTACAACTCCCATCATAGCAACTAGTCTTGATGGCTATATGCTACCTCTGGTATCAGAGGCAGTACACCTACATACGCCAGCTGCTGGAGAACTCAGTGAGTGTGATTTTTGAATTGGCCTGATACCAGAAGATGGATTTGGCCCTTTTCCATAGGACCAACCTGGATGCCTTTGTGGTTTAATCTTTATTTTTAGGGAGAGATTATTTTGTTTGCATGTGTTAATTTTCTGGTGGCTTGTGTTTTGATTTATTTTAGTTCCAATGGCTTCCCTCAATTGCACTGCATTTTAAATATCCTGCAAGCCACCTTTACAACCAGCAATAGAAAACAAGTTCTCCCTGGCTCCTGCAGGTGAAACTATTCTAAACAACAAAGTTACGGAAGACAAGCCCCCCCCCCGCCCCCCACCCACACCTCAAATGTCAGAAACTCCCTGAGAGTTAAAATTCACTGCCCAGGGCTAGCATAAATTAAGTTTATATGATCATATAAATATGTAGAACCTCCTAGATATTTGTGGCATCACAACTTTAAAGAAGGGCTGAAAGACAATACAACTCTACATCTTTGGAAGTCACAAATTCCTGCTTTCTCTTTGTCCCCCACCTTCTGACCCACTGTGCACCAACCTGCCATGAAGCGAAGAAAGAAGCAGGGCTCAGAAGATTGGGGTTGCTGGGGTGCCTTCCACCCATGTACTCATCTGTGCATATGTCACAGTCCTGGGCATCACGCCAGTCCCAGTAAGGTATGGTGAAATTCTCATTCCCGGTGATCTTCTGGATCTCATGTTCCCACATGAGTAAGAAAACACGATGCCAAGGAAGGAAACCTGGAGCCTCATGAGCAAAATCAATGTCCCGCCAGACATCTGTGCCTCCAAGCAACGTGTCCCGAGACACGTAATAATGCATCCAGACGAAGAGGTCATACATGTTGATGCTTTGGAACATGGGATTGGATCCATTGTTCATCTGGGCATATGTTCCAGTGGCGATGACAAAATCCCGGCTGGTGGTGTGCTTTGCCAGGTTGAGGTAGGCAAGGAATTGATACTTTTCTCTGGCGCTCAGCCGGAAGATGTCTCTTCTCACTTGCAGCCTCTTTTCAGTGCAGTTGGGACCCACAAAATTGAACTTACAACCACCGCAGTTGAACCCCATGAAGTTGCCGGAGCACTGGCACGTCCTGTTATAGAACACCACAGGCCAGTCCTCCCTGTCATCCACCCCAGAGAAGGGGAACTGAGGACCAAGAGGGGCATCAGAGAGAATGATGTCCTTGCAGGACCCCCTACCTGAGAGCTCTCCACAAGGGGAACCATCACCTGGCCAAGGAGGACAGCACTCCTTTCGCAGCAGACTGTCTGAATTGGCACATGCCCGAGGAAATTGGCTGGACCCGACAGGAAGACTGCCTAGGAGGATACCAATGGACAAAAGAGACATCTTTCAGTGGCAGGAGATGTACAACCAAGTGGTTAACCAAGTGGTTCACTGGCGAAAAGCAAGTTATTATCCCTGTTGCAGCCCTGAGAAGTTTTCCCTCCAGACTTCATTCCTGCACATCATTCAGTTTCACTCCCCATCCTTGCCATACACACAGTTTTCTGTAATCTGATTATCACATGTTTTGGGTTACATCCAAGTAACTTTTAACCCCTCCTCCCCCTTTGGCTTCAGTTGTACAGAGACTTACTATAAAATCCGCATCTTCTGTCTCTCACATGATCACTGTCGTGGTCCCCGCTGTGGAGTGTGTAATTCTTGATCACACACAAGAATTTGAACAGCTGACATAATGCCTTTTTGGGGCTGTGTGTGGATAAAGGAAGAAGGAAGGGTGAGATGGGGGTATGGAAGGAAATCTCACACATCTAGTCAAGCTCATTAATTAGCATAAGCTCAGCGAAACATTCAATGGAGTGAAAAAAACGGTCTGAAGTTCCTCAGTTGTTTCCTTCAGAGAAAGGGAAGATTTTACTAAGGTTCAGAGGCAGAAAGAGGGATGCATATATCTAAGAATGGGGCCAAAGTGGGAATCTGTAAATGTAGATATTTATAAAGCATATAAAGATAAAGGTATTTAATTCTGAGTTCAACCCATGAGAATTTTGGAGCACTAAAAGAGGTCAATCAAAATTATGCAATTCTGTACCATGATAGAGGAAGAGAAAATTGAAGAGGGAGCAGTGGCTGAAAGCATCTCTGCTCCTTTGGAGACTGTCTTAGGCTGGTATTTGGATCTTAAAGGGAAAGCCCATGAAAATTGGGTGGATGATGCACACTCCCTAAACCTGGCTGCAGAGTAGGCTTTGGATGGAACTGAACCTTTAAAGGGAGAGCTGCACTTGCAGGTCAATGGATCTGAAAGGCTTGATGCTAAAACAGAGAGCCAAGTTAGAAGCTGATGGAGGAAAAACAAATAACTATATAGCCAAGATCCCTGTAATGAAGGAATGTACTCTCCCACTTGAAGGCTAGCTTTTCCTTTTATCACAGGATTTGGCTCATATGAAATCTTTTCTCTCTGTATGTAATGATCTTTTGACATGCCTTCTCAAAGCCTTTTCAAGACAGTGGCCACAGCATATGGAGGTGAAGATGCAGTGAAGGAATGCAAAAATCTTACATCAGAACTGAATCCAGATAGGCATAGATGATGAATGGTAAGGCTCACAAGAACATGTTAAGCTAGAAGTGCAGGAACCAAATCAAGAAGACTAAAAATACGAAAAATGCAAAAGGTGTGTGTCACAAAGATGCAATTTAGTAAACTTTTCAATTTTATTAAAATCCCAGTTCCGGTCTAACACTCTTATTCACTAAACTGGCTCTCAATGCAGTTTCTCTTGCCATACTGGAGAAATCCGACCAGGCAACCCATGACCCTGCTCATTCTGCTGTCGAAATGTCAACTGTGAATGGGCAAACCTCAGAGCTCCTGCTTCCCTCCTCATAGATCTTCGACTTCGAAGGAATCTTGCATGGGGTGGCCCATCAAATACAGAGTACCTTAAAGCGCTGTCTTCTGCTAGCTCTCCAAAGTATTAGCTTGTCCTCTGTAAAGTGGGATATCTGACCATCCTGTGAGTGGACAACTACTCAAAATCCCTCTCCTGAAGAGCAGAGTGGCATGGCATGCAGTTCCTCCGCTTCCTGGACATTCAGCTGGAGGTCCAAAATGTAACTCTGAGTAGAACTGCCTTTTGAAGAACATTAGAAAAGCCATTCTGGATCAGACCAAAGGTCCATCTAGCCCAGTACTCCATACATACCATGACAAAACAGCTGCCCGCAGGATCCATCAGGGTGGGTGCAAGACTTCTTCTTGCTCAATCTATTCAGCAACTGAGGTAGGCATGCATGCCACCTCTGTAAAGGAGGTCGCATGTAGCCAGTAAGGCTAGCGGCCACCAATAACCTCCTGTTCTATGAATCTGTCCAAACCCCATCCAGACTGGTGGCCATCACTACTTCCCATGGCAGCAAATTCCATAGATTAACCATAATTTGTATGAAGAAGTACTTCCCTTTATCTGTCCTAAACCTTCCAATAATCAGTTTCATGAGATAACCTCAGTTCAAGTGTTATGGGAGAAGGAGAAAAAAAAATGCCTTCTCCACCTTCTCCACACCGTGCATCATTTTGGACACATCTGTCATCTCTCCCTTACTTGCCTTTTTTCTAAGCTAAACAGTCTCAGTTGTTGTAGCTCTTCTCACAGGGACATCGCTCCAGTGCCCTGATCATTTTTGCTGCCCCTCTGTATTTTTTCCAGTTCAGTCATGTCCTTCTTCTGGTAAGGTGACCAGAACTGGACACGATATTCTAAGTGTGGTCATACCAATGCTTGTATAAGAGGAGTGAGACCTTGGCAGTTCTGTTTTCTATCCCATTTCTAATTACGGCTAGCGTGGAGTCTGCCTTTCTCACAGCAGCTTCACACTGGGCTGGGTGGAGAGACGCAACAACCAGGGCTGGCGTCATGGGTGTGCACAATCATTGGTATAACCAACAGAGGGCCCACCCCCCATCAGGGACTGACTGTCAAGAGCTCCTGGAGTTCTTCCACCCAGCCATTGCAAGCTACCTGCTCACCTGCCTCTTGCCCTGGGCCACTCCACAGTGATTGAAAGAAGGCTGGGCAGTTAATAACATTTTCTCCGTTTTCTCATTGCGGTGAGCACTGCTGGCTGGGGGACCATGGGAAATGCAGTCCAACACAACTGGAGGGCATGAGGTTAGGAAGGCTCTGCAAGTCAAGAGAATAAGTAGTAGGCACAATGGGAAAGAGATGGGGACAAAGAGCGGTTGATGACGATGGAAATGAGAAAGTGGACTCAGTAAGAGAGAGAGACCCATGGAGACTCTCTTTGCCAAGGACCCTCAGCAACCTGGAGCTGGCACTGCTTATAAGACAGGCATTCTACTGGTACCTGGGAAAGCTCTATTTGTGTCCTCACAATAAATACAAATCCAGTTGAAGCATCCTCTTCAGTTTGGCAGATCTGCAGGAGGAAGATGCACAGAATTCCAACAGCTGCCTTTACAAAGCCGGCTACGTAGGCCTGTCCTCATTGCCTCCTGAGGTTGCCAAGAATACCCCTAACTAGTTTAGGGTAGGCACACAGCTGGGCTAGCCCTGAGTCCACAGAGGACAGTCCTCGACCTGTAGATGACCAGCATCATCTATCTAAACAGCTGCCTCGTCCAAGTCCAAGTCAAGAACCTAAAGAAGGAAGAACAGGATTCTAAAAGCCATCCCTCAGTTGGTACCTGGACAGCAGAATGAGCATGCATCCAGGTGATCACTTGAGTAGACTTTTCCCCAGGTATTGCATTCCCACTTGACTTATAGTCAACATATCACTTTGCTACTTAAATTATAGCAATTGATTTCCCTAAACTTGCATCATGCAATACACATTTTAGGCACAAATCTGCATTCTCCATCTTGCTGGCTGTTGCTTGCTCTCCCTTCGTGGCAAAGTACACATGACCCTCTGAGAAACAGCAAACCCTTTGCGGCCCTGTGGACTCTGGAAAGCCTGAAGCCAGAGCATCCTGCAGGAAGTGAACACTTTGCCTGGGAAATGTTGCCTTTCTGCAGGAATCAGGGGGCTGTCATATGATCCCGCTGAGAAGCACGAGGATCTTTAATCCTCTTGGCTTCAGGAAATGCAGACAGATTATCACAGGGCCTCTCTGTGCCTGCTTTCAGCTCCCAAAGCCATTTTGTGCTTGCTTCCTTCTTTGAACCTCTCTCTGCTTTGTTCCCCCATTTCAAAAGTCAGCTCAGACTGCAAACAGTCCAGCTGGTGATGCTGCCTCATGTTGATCTCTATAGAAGGAAAAGCATCACAAGTTGGATTTCAGCCTGCTGCACAGCTGTTAAAAACATAGTGGAGAAAAGGCTAAGTGTGTCCTCAGAGCGGCCTGTTTGATGTTCATATTCACTTCCTTTTCCACTCCTTTGCACCAAAAAGGGTGTATGTGTGGGGGAGGGGGAGGGGAGGGGAGAGAAGTACACTCAGATTCTGCTGGAGTTCATAAGATTGATTAATTGATTGATCACTTAATCAGTTCAAGCAGCTTGACTAATCAAGTTAAAAACAACAACAACTTTAATTTGTAGGCATCACAAATTATATTAGTATGAGTTGTTATAGTTAGACTGGATTATTATAATTAGAATCTGGGTGCTAAGCTTCCACTTGCAAAGAAAACAGAAGGTCAAGTGGCCAGAAAATGCATACACCCCCAACACATATGTAATTGTTGGCTTTTTGGAGTGGAAAAATTTGCAGTTTTGATTGGTTTATTTGGGAAGACTGAGCTCCTCAATTATCTTAACCTCAAGAAAAGTTTGAGCACCTCTTGCTGTTTTGAAGAGGAGGCAAAGGCAGTGGCAACTGGAGCTTAGTGCTTTTGCTTGAATGTTGGAAAGAACCGCAACATCCACCCTTGTGTCCTGAACAATCCACCAGTCGCACAAGACCAGAATGGCTCAAGTTGTCCAAGACAGAGCTGACATCTTCGTGATTGTTGCTGCCACTTCACTGAATTGTGAAGAGGCTCCTGATCGTCTTCCTTGAGACTCACAGTAAAGAGGATTTGACAAAGACCAGAGAAGCAGTGCACCATGCAGATAAATTTTTGCATGTGCCCTACCTCACAGAAGACAGAAAAGCTACAATCCTATGCATACTTCCATAAGGGTAAGGAGCACCATGTGACCTACTTCTAAATGTACATGCACAGAATTGCACTGACAATGTTCTTTCTCAATCTTATGGGTGCAATTCTATACACTGGCAACCAAACACCATGAGAAGGCATGCTATTTACCTGTTTGCTTGCTCCATTTCTACCCCACCTCTGCACCAAAAACAGGGCTCATGCCAGGAAATGTCAGGGATACTGAGGCTGGACCAAGGGCGTGATC